TTCAAAGTGTGGGAAGGTGAGCCTCCCCTCAGAGAACATAAGAACAGCCGCGCCTCCCTCCCCAATTATTATTGCTATTATTCATTATTCATTATGTCTGTTCGTTGCACTGGCACTAACGGAACTAAAGGGGAAAAGTACGGGTGAAAGTACTCCGGTGTGAACGCGGCTATTTGCATTTCAAAGAGGTCCAGTAAGATAAAATGTCATTAAGTGCTCTGTTTTCACTGTCTACCTTCCTCTTTTTTGAGCACGCCATTTGAAATTACTCACTGCTGTTTCTCTCTTCTCTTCTCGTCTCTGTGTTTGAATCTACCATGCTGACTCACTGACTGCACCGATTTGATTGGCTGAGTAGCGTCACCTCCTTAAAACATCAAACAGTAACTTTTTAAAACCATTTAATCTTTATGTTTTAAACATATTTTTTAAACATTTTTTACATTTTCAACATCGTGGATAAATCCTCATATGCTCCCGGCAACACACTGAACGTCAACTTTGCCTCCTTATTACACTCACCCCTACTTTAGTGGGAACAATGAGTCTGCATCTTTAATACGCACAGGCGGATGATGCAGGGATGCAATGTAGACAGGAATAAACGCAGATCATCCTCTGGCTGCAGCCTTGACTTTTGATCAAAGTCAATGCGGAAAACCCACACTCACACAGGTAGGTGGAGGTGAAGGGAATGAGCACTTTTACAGCGTTTTTGGCGAGGTGGGGGAACTCAGTCTCCACAGACAGCCAAAAGTGTGCAAGTGACGTTTTCTGCGAGACGCTGTCTCCTCTCTCACTTTAGGTAACTTCACTAAAAATCGATCCATGTTGCTGCTCGCATAAAGTTAGCTGAAGTTAGCTAGATTTCACTGTTTCTCGTTATTTCTTTCTCACACTGCGCCTCCCCTGAAGCTCTCTGGCTCCCCCCCGCTGCTCTAGTTCATACATGATCAGGTAATTGCCTGATTATTTCCCATTTAAATGCAAAAAGGGATTTTACTCATCCCCAGTATTCATCATGACTGAATCCTACTGGCTTTGGTTATCTTGTATATTTTTTTCCTTGTGGCACTAGAGTTTATATATATCTTTAATAATATCTTATGAATCCCATTTACTTTTTGTGTCCCCTGTCCCCCATTTCCACTTGTGCTGCTGTCAGGTAAAAAATCCTAATTTGTCACACCTGCAAACTAATGATATCTTAATCGGCCTCAGCTGCGCGTTGTGTTTGGTGGTTTTCCAACTGCTAGTATGCTAAAATCTTACACTAAGATGGTTAACATTATAACTGCTAGAAATCAGAATTAAGTCATTGCGAGTGTCATTATTTGGACATTAGCATTTAGCTCAACGCATCCCTGTACAGCCTGGCCGAGCCTCTTGTTGCTGTATACTCTATTTGTTTGTTGTTTATTTATGATTAGATCAGCATTGTTTAGCATGTATATTGCTGGACAAGAAAACTGGCATGGCACTAAAATTAGACCCATTGTGAAGACAAGAAAGGAACTCCCGAGAACCCCCTAAGAGGAGAAACATTGGCTCAGCCGGATGGGCAGTAGCATAGCCTAATTAGAAACAAGGAAAACAAATGAGAACAACTATCAAAATAAATGTTCCATTACAGCTATAGTAGCGTGTGGAGGGAGGTAATGAGGAAAACCGTTTATATTTCCTGAAGCGATGGCCTGAAAGGAAACACTTCTTGAAAGAAACAAAAGCATATGTAGTCTCCTTGTGAGGGCAGAGCTTCAAACCACACCTGAGCAGAAGAAGCTGGCACAGGTCTGCCAGATACATGATCCCCATCCTTAATTTTCTCTGAGAGACATAAAATTCAACCTTTTTCCTGGAACTGCAAACAGAGGCTGTAGTGCATCCCTTGCAGAAGATCTAAAACTGCCCATTTTCTCAAGTGAAACCAGATGTCCATGACCTCAGCCAGCTGAGCTGTTCTTTCCACAAATGGCCCACTTCCCTCTCACATGCTTTTCGGGCCTGTTTCAGTACCTTTCAGTCAGCCACATTCCATTGTGAGACATTCAAGTGCAATGTACAAGGTAGCCTAATTTCCTGGGTTAATAAGGGAGTCGGGTTGGTCCTATATATAACCTGAAACCACATTAAAAGGCCTTTTGGCTGTCCCTAAGTTATTTCCCTGTGGAACAACTGGCCCTTTTATTACAAGACAGCTCAAAGTGACCTCAATAGTAAAAACAGGCTCTACACTTAATGTTTCAGAGTCACAGTGCTTAACAGTCATTGTCTTTATACAGTTGGCTAAGAATTTTCAGAATTCAACACTTAGACTCAGAGCAGGGATCTGTTACTGAGACGTTCTTTTTTTTGTTTAACTAATCCAAGCCTTCCTCCTGTATTTCCGCAATTCAATTATTCTTTTTATTTTGATTTGACCATAGAATTGTGCTTCCGGTTGAACAAACCTCAATCAGTTTCAATGCATTGATGGAAAAAGAATCACTGTAGAAGCGACAGAAAAGTATTCAACAGTTTACAGTGGTGGAAGAAGTAGCAACAATACAACAATTTAACACATTTCTATTGAAGCTTTCATGCATTCATAAAAAGTATTAAAAACAATATTTAAGAAAATCTACTAAAAGTATCAAAACTTAAACTATTCACTATGCAGCAAAATGTCCCCTGTCAGTTATATTATCTTAGATTGTAGTAAAGCTCTGTTACTGTTACAAAGGTCAGATGATATCCCTATTAGCATGAGCATTGGCTATTCTTCCTGGGTTCCACACACACAGCCGGCTTTATCCTTCTCTTGGAACAACATTTTAAAAAAAATGCAGTTTGGTTTTGGTCAGAAGAACTTAGTGACCCTTGGAGGTTTTATGAAAAAGAAACTGTGGCCAAGTTTTACATTTACACTGTAGGAAAACTGGGGTCATTTAGGGACTGTTTGCAAGGACTTAGTGTTTTTAAATGCAACATTTTTACAAGTGAAGTCCAGGTTTATGTGTATGACGGGGGATTTGCTGTCAGATTGGGTGTTGCAGCACATTGCCCATGTTGATGGGAGACTTCTCAGATTAGACCAGTCGTTGGATGCTCATTTAATTTAATCAGGAGGAAGCAGATGTTCTTGAACAGCAAAAATGTAATCACTCACAATTAGTAGAGGTTTACTTCCCTCTCTTCCCTTCAATATTGTGTTCCTTTACTTGTTGATGTTATGTTAGCATGCAAATGTGTCTAAAGAATGAAGTTCAAATATAAGTTTTCACAAATAAATCGTATAAAAGGTTTAATGACAATGTTGAGTTTATTCAGGTTAGTAACCCATCAACTGTTACCCTCTTATTTTAAGTCACATATCCACCATACAGACACACACACACACACACACACACACACACACACACACACACACACACACACACACACACACACACACACACACACACACACACACACACACACACGTATACACACATTGGCACGCATTGCTAGTAATGTTCATGTTAACCTTTTACTGAATACATTTATAATATCCCAGTGCAGCTATAATTTAAAGTATGGAAAGTACCATCTCCTAACCTTAAGGGATTGTCCTCATATCCTCTAACTTTTTGAGAAATATATTGTGTATAAACGTTATAGCAATTGAGAAAAATCCTCTACACAGGTGACCAAATTCACAAGTCTGATCTGTGAATAAAGGACAGTCTACGTATACACAGAAATAATCATCACACAAAATAAAACAACGAGGATGAGGAAACTGTTATTTGAACATTTGTGGAAATAGTGTTAGTCTATAGCCATCAGCCAATCAGAAGAAAGATTTTGCCTGAGCAGATTTCGTAACCTAAAACATTGGTAGCATTGTGAAGCCATAACAAATGGCTTCAAACAAAGGTACCCAGCTGGCTTGGTTAACCCCAGGCCATAAGAGCACATATAATAGGTAAACAATTGAGTTGGATGTTTTGTTTTTGAAGTGTAGCCAATACAGCAGTACAGTCTGAGCACTATTTAGCTTTGATATGTGAAAAACATATAAATAGTGTTTATAACAAGAACAACTCTTTGTCCCTGGGAACTTTCATTGCTTTTCATTTCCTTTCAGCGCCTCGCCTCCAAGAACAACAACCAAAGTCAGAAAGTCTCTTTAACTTAAATAGAAAAATGTAGCCAGCCGCACATGGAAGAATTAGAGGAGAACACTTGATGATAAAAAAAGACAAATAGTTGCTGTTTAGATTTGTATTGCTACCTTGCCAACGTACAACATATGCTTTTGAATAATCATCCCAATTTTTTATATTTCGATATTGTTCTTTTCATCCTAATATTTGTATATCATTATGGTTAAATATGAGAACAGTTGTCACTTTTTGGGCTGAACATCATGACATCAAAAACAATAGTTGTAAAGGATAAATAGCACAGTTCATCTGATAATCCGGGAGAGTAAACCTCGGTCAGGTTTCAGATTGGAGAGGCACGGATTACTCTCTGCCCATCACATCTGTCACAGGAACTGCGATGCTGTGTACTATAATTGCCCTTTTGACATTCACAATATTAGCCTTTAAATATGACATGTGAGTAGTGTGCATGTGAAAGGATTGTGTATCTATGATGCCATGTCCATCCTTTATGTATTTCTTTAGATAATACTTGATTTTGTGTGTAATATAGAATATTTTCGTTTTTTTTTTTAATAGAATATCTTTCCATCCACTAACTTTAGTTACTTAAGACTTTAGATAAACATCATTATCATCAAGAGTTATTAAGAACTGCTACGGCAGAACAAAATACCTACACTTTTCATTTTCCAAATGCATTGGTGCTAATTGCACTATGGAACACCCAAATATTTGTCTTGGATGAACACAAAATGTAACAAAGGGTGATGCATGATGTTGGTGCTGTTCCGGAAAATTAGGCTCTGATGTATGAGTAGCCTATTTCAAAACGTCCTGCCCATCTGTGGGCAATGACCTTGTTTAAAGCAGGATAGTCCTTTCACTCCCTTAGTGAGTGTGCATGTGTGTGTTTTTGTGCTGCTTGAGTTTGTGTCTACAAGACAGTGAGGGGCAGACGGAGGCAGGCACGCCCAAATGATGGTGTTGAATGACGCCCGTCTGTTGCTTCTTCAGTATTTCGGTGCGTCCTGCGATTGGTGGAGGACGGGATATGGTACCCAGGGCTGGCGCGCCATGGGCGGGTGGATGGCCTGTTTATAAACCCAGATCTCTCCTCGTGGGCGGGAACAGCAACAGTAGAGAGTGAAAGCGGAGGGACAGAGTGAGAGAGACGGTGGAGGAGAAGAGGCTGTGGTGGCAGCTGTGGCTGACCGGGGATCGCGGAGGGGGCGAGGCGGCCGCCCCTGAGTGCCTCTTCAACCGTGCATGGACGACCACCTCAGCCTCCTGCAATCACCCCCGCTGAGCGTTACCAAAACCCGGGGCGACAATCTGGTGAACCACGGATACAACGAGACAGAGACCGACGTGATGACGGTGGTGGCGTGTGACAAAATGCTGGAAGAGTCGGCGGCTCTCCCGGGCCACCACTCTCTGGACCGATATGAACCGGATCATGAATGCTGCGAGAGGGTCGTCATCAACATCTCGGGGTTACGCTTCGAGACCCAGCTCAAGACTCTCTCCCAGTTTCCAGAGACACTTCTGGGAAACCCCAAGAAGAGGATGAGGTACTTTGATCCTCTCAGAAACGAGTACTTTTTTGATCGAAATCGCCCCAGCTTTGACGCTATACTTTATTACTATCAGTCTGGCGGGCGCATCAGGAGACCCGTCAATGTGCCCATTGACATTTTCTCTGAGGAGATCCGCTTCTATGAGCTGGGTGAGGAGGCTATGGAGAAGTTCAGGGAGGATGAGGGCTTCATAAAGGAGGAGGAGCGACCGTTGCCAGAAAATGAATTTCAAAGACAGGTGTGGCTGCTTTTTGAATACCCAGAGAGCTCGGGTCCCGCGCGGGGCATAGCGATAGTGTCTGTCCTGGTTATTCTCATCTCCATTGTCATCTTCTGCTTAGAGACACTGCCGGAGTTCAGGGACGACCACAGGGATCCGATCACTATTGCACCTGCGATTAATGGCACACTCCCGTATTTCACCAGCCCATTCTCTGACCCTTTCTTTGTTGTGGAGACGTTGTGTATTATTTGGTTCTCTTTCGAGCTGCTGGTGCGCTTCTTTGCGTGCCCTAGTAAAGCAATTTTCTCAAAAAACATCATGAATATTATTGACATTGTGGCCATCATTCCCTATTTCATCACTCTGGGCACAGAGCTGGCAGAGAGACAAGGAAACGGACAGCAGGCCATGTCATTAACCATTCTGCGCGTAATTAGGCTTGTTCGGGTGTTTCGCATCTTCAAACTCTCGCGTCACTCCAAAGGGCTCCAGATTTTAGGACAGACTCTGAAGGCCAGTATGCGTGAGCTGGGCCTGCTCATCTTCTTCTTGTTCATCGGTGTCATCCTCTTCTCAAGTGCTGTCTATTTTGCTGAAACAGACGACCCAGATTCAGGGTTCAGCAGCATTCCAGACGCATTCTGGTGGGCTGTTGTCACCATGACTACCGTGGGCTACGGGGACATGCACCCTGTGACCATCGGGGGGAAGATCGTGGGGTCTCTCTGTGCCATCGCTGGTGTGTTGACCATTGCTCTGCCCGTGCCTGTCATTGTCTCCAACTTTAACTACTTTTACCACAGAGAGACGGAAGGGGAAGAGCAGGCACAGTACCTGCACGTGGGCAGCTGCCAGCCCCTCGCGGACACAGAGGACCTGAGGAAGTCTCGCTCCTCTTCCTCACTCAGCAAGAGCGAGTATATGGTGATAGAGGAGCACGGGATCAACAACACGTTCAAACAGCAGCCCAACTTCCTCACCACCACGCAATACAACTCGGAAAATTGTGTGAATATAAACAAAAAGATTTTCACCGACGTGTAGCCAATTATTGAGTCATAGCTCTGAACGCAGGAAGGGGTAGTGTGTAAACACACAGCTGTTTCTGTCGCTATGCTACAGCGTGCGGAAGCAGCGGTAGATCAGATGAATAAACAAAGGAATAATGAGGGAGGGGAAGCACAATCCTGTCAGTTAAGAGACGCTGCTTTGTGCTCCATTCACAAAATCTGTCCTTTTCATTTCGGTGATGATGATTCATAATTCAGTTTTACTTTCGCGCTTGGAGATAAATAACTCATTTAAAATATTAGGTCTAGTATTCTTCGGTGAGTTAGGGAATTTACCTGTTGTGCATTGTGAAATTGCATCATTTGCATACATCATCAAAACAGCCTATTAGAAGCTTTATAACTGAAAGATGAGTAAAAATGTATGGTACTCGAAGAGCACTCACATTGTAGCCTACGTGTTATGAGTCGTGATTCATAGCCTATAATATTCAGAATCATTTAAATATGTGTATATTGTGTTTTTACACATGTAATGTCACAGTTTTGCATATTATCTAAATTAGACCGTTCTGTGAGATGACTTAGGCCTTATTGTACGTTAAAGTCTAGTCAAAATGTTACTGTCTTTAAAAAAAATCCCTTTTTCTTTCATATCCTGTCACGGTGTGATATAAACACAGGGGCCGCCTGCTTTCAGTCATGGTGCAGGACACACTGAGAGTGGATAAACACAGCGCACACGTACAGTGATCAAAGATGGAGCGTGCTTCTCTTTGGATGCCTCAAATATAGTTATGCCCGCTGTGATGCAGTCGCCATGGAGACGTCCGTTTCCTCGGTAACCCCAGTCACCGTTGCCATGGCACCCTTGTTTCCACAGAAACCTTCCAGATGGCTTGCAAGCTATATCGGAGATTGTTATCAAAGCTTGTATTGAGTCTCTAATAAGACATTAGCCTACGATTTGCGTGCGTAAAATACGAGCCCCAAAAATACCGAGCATTGACGCACAAAGCAAATTGGGATAACAACGTCTGTTCACACAATTGCCACTATTAACTGGGTCCCGAAATGAACCAGGCACCGCTTGGAGACGTGCTAAACCGGAAGATGTGGAAGGGGAGGCAGCGCGTGAGGAATTATGAATGAACTGGGAGCACGTTGTGTCTGGCTGTCCTGAGTGCGCTACTGCAGGCGCTCAGCAGAGGCTGCTGTTCTCCCACTGATAAACATGGTAAGTTCTGAACACTGTCACTCAGGCCCTGGCCTCTTTAGAACCCTCCCTTTACATTTAGTCATAAAAACAGTTGTTTTACTGTGTGGGTTTAATGGGAATGCCAATACATTTAGGTTAGTTCAATATAAAGAGTGTCACCTTAATGACATTTCATCCCAGTAATATAAAAGCATAATACAAGCAAGAGGTTTGTTTTTTGTCCATGATCTTATTCATGCAGCACACGTTGCATACATGTTTAAGCCTTTACTGGCCTTAGTGTGTGGGTTTTCCTATGCTATGTAATGGGGCAGATGCTCCTGCAGTGCGCCCAGGTTGTCTTTAACCTTCAGATGACTGAATAAGGGCACCAACAGCATGCCCACCCAACCTGTCTCAGTGCTGCCCCCTGGTGGCTACCATCTCCTTAAAGAACAGGTGGCTCACCTGATGTCTCTGACAACATTTGACAGTGATGTCAAAAAGATTCAAAGGTAACATAACCATGAGATATCTCACAACAAGAGCAAATTCAGAGCTGCCATTTAACAACATTGTTAACTGCATTGAATCTCGCATTCATGCTTATAAACGTGTTTATATTGAAGTGTGTGAAAAAAAAAAAACATTTAAAATTATTGTTAGTAGTAAAGCCTCTACCTTGCCTTTTTTCCTGTACCCAATTCCTATCTTTGGAACTGCTGCCCTGCTACCCTGCAGATTTATGTTCACTGTCACCCCTGATTGTGATTACTCTATCTCAAAAAGAGATGGGATGAGAGGGAAATATAACATGTTAAAAAGGCAGGATAGGGAATCTATCTATCAGCCATGTTCTGAATCTATTGAGTGTGACTCTGTGTGCACTTGAATGTGTTCTTGTGAGCATGCGTGTGGTAGTTGACTATTATACCTCAACACTCATGGCCGAGTGATAATTAGGGCATTCTCATTAGTTGGCTTACCCTAAAGGCAAAGTGGGAGGTCCCACAGAAAGAAACACCACGTCATAGATTATTGCTTTCCGTTTTAACCCCTGACCTTGACTTCATACATTTTCAGTGAAACCCTCTGTGTTGGTCATCAGTTAAATTGCCTGCTCATTTCTCAAATCAAATAAAAGCTCCAGAGAGAAGAATCACTGATTTATTGATTGTAAGCAAACTATATTTTTTGTCAGTCTGGAAGCTAATCTTATGAGCCTGGCGAGGATGAATTATCGAGAAAAGAACGCACATAAAAAAAGAACGGTAACATGCACTTTTGTCTTTTCAATTCCTATTCTGTCAAGCTCAGATAATGTGCAACATAGCAGCTCGCTAGTGTTTCACATTTGTTTCTGTCCAGATCCCTTATTACATATCCTAACATCTGCTCCTCTTTCTTTATCTTTACTAAAATGTAGGCATTTGGTTGATGCTCTTGTACAGGATGAATTGCAGTGCGTCATGTCTGATTAACTGCAAGACTGTAATGCTGTCAGTGGTGGCACTTCTAGAGAAATGTTGCCCTTGTCAAAATGGTCTCGCTCACATAAAATGTGCCCTCTTCACCTCCATTCTCCTCTCCTTATGATCTGACACTGTTTACACTTTGAGTTGTGCATGAGGGGTAAGGAGACAGCAGGGAGAAGAGCAGCATCCTTGCGTTGTTAATAAGATCACCAAACTATGTGATGGGTCTGGTTACTCTGTGTGGCTCTAACAATTTAGTCTTCTCTCCTCCCCATTCTCCTCTTCCTCCTCTCTCTCTTTCTCTCTCAGGTGAAAGTAGCTACATTTTTCTGCACAGACCTCCTGGAAACCCTGACGACCCCAATTGTACTGCCTCCCATTTAGGTAAACAGACTTGATTTGATAAGAAGAGTAAATATGACATTAGTGAACTTTACCCAACATTCACTGCTAACGACTTAGAATGGTGTTCTCTGTTTAGAGCTGTATAGATTACCCATTAACCTGCAGTGACCTTTTTTTCTCTATAGGGGCGCAATGACTCTGGTCTTCCTGATGAGCCAGATTGGCCAAAGCGAAGAGTTGAGACAGAACTCCCACTGGATCAATATTTCTTCCCCTACCCTCCTCCTGACTGGTGTCCTTAAACCCAGACTGGGTGCCTACCAGTTCTCCCCTTCCAGTGGTACACCACTCAATCCAAAATGCAATTGCTAGAATGACAAAAAAAAACTGACATATAATGTATTCCACATACAGTTTTGTAGCTGCAGTATTCTGACTGCTTTTCTTCTGGATTTGACACACTGTGAGTGGATCGATCACGCCGTCCAAATGGATTCAGGCAGTGAGAGAATTCAGCTGGATCTGTTTTATGGACTCTGGCATTTCTCTATACTGCTTTCCATATAAAATTCAGAAGGACGGGTTTAGGAAAAAGCCCGCAATATGGCAAAGAACATCTAATTCCTGGATTCAACGCAGATTTCTACCCATTCATGTTTTAAGGTAATGATATTCATTATGGACAATAACTGAAAAACAGATTTAGCCTCAAGTCAAAAGTGGCTAAAACTGAGGCCGACCGTGATTTGCTGATATTAAACTGTGATACAAATCAAAGACTGTTAGCCATATGCCTTTTGTTAATCTGTGTGCTCTGTATTGCAGATGATACAAATTGTATCTGTATTTGTATATTTGTAAGTGATACAAATACCTATGTATGTGTGCTGGTTGCAGCTATTCCCCCTGTCCTATACACATGGATATGTATATATACATGCACATACATGTATACACGTACCTATGAATGGCTCTGTTTTATCCCAGAGTGCACTGATACTTTGGGATGAGGCAGAATAACGCCAGTGGAAGGTTGTGTATGCCAGTATTTGTTCTGTGCTATTCTGTGCTGTCTTAAACATGACCCATATAAATAGATATCAGTAGTACTGTCATTATTTGCAAGGAGATTTTTTATTTATTAATGAGAAAATTGAACTGGGAAAATATCTTTATAAACCGTATTTCCTAGTATTTGTGTGGTTTTGATGATGTCATGATTAGAGACATTTGAACCAGCATTACCCTGTCTGTGTTGATGTTTCTGTAGAATTAATCCTCTTCTATAATTCACTTTGGTATGGTTTAGTATAAGCTACATATTTAATTTGGATTTCATTATTTAACAGGATGAAGGGCAAATAAGGGCAGACCAAAAACATCAAATAGTTTGCAGTAGGACATTAGAACAAGTAATAGCAGTGCTTACAATATAGAATGTGATTCTGTGTGTGATTATAAGTTGCTTTAATCATTCAATGTTGCTCTAATTTCCTAGATTTATAGGGGTATTATCATCCATAAATAAACAGAAAAAATTGTTTATTGTCATCATACTCAATAAAGTATGATGACTATAAACCCTGTATAGTGAACAGGGTTTGGTGTGTAGCCCTTGAGCAGCTGTCTCGTAAAACACAGGTTGGGGTTGTACTAAACAGCTGTGATGGTGCCAAACCGAAAATATCCTATTTGTAAACACAAATGAAATAGAAGTATGATAATAAAAGTACAAGCAACTATGCTCTATGACACCATTTCTGCATCCTCACCCATTTTAACATGTGCATGGAAAAGAGATGATTGCTTTTATGGCACAATATTGCAAAAACATTTGGCTTTTCCCTGAACTGCACAGCTGAACCATAACGAGAATTGAACTGTGTGTGAGTCCAGTGGAAAACTTCATATCATCTCTGTGCCGCAGGAGGTAAATATTAACATTCTAACAGAGGTTTACAGCCATCACACTGTCATCCTGTGTATGAAGCAAGTGTGCTTTATTGCTCCAGGGAGCCCACCAGCTCGCTAATAACTCTGCCATCTCTCTAGGCTATTGTGTGGCCACCAATATCAAAACCTTTTTTTTGCCATATTGGAAATGCTGTGATCGTTTTAATCTAAATACTCCCAATGTTTATCAGTGCAGCACAATTCATTTTCTCCAATTTAAACATTTAATTTGTTCTAACTGATTGGTTGTCTTTATTTGGCTATATTAAAAACATGTTAGTGAAAGATACAACTTCCTTTGAGATCACAAAAATACCGGTGATGTCATCAAAGCTCACCTCCAGCCATGGTGCTACATCAGGAAATCTCCATAGCAACAAGGGAGGGTTGTCTGCAAGATGAAGAGAGTGGCCATGGGAACAGATTCAGGTGCATTGAAGGGATCACCACTCAAGCTGTCTGTAATACTAACAGTAGTGTTTGTGTGTACAGGACTTCTCAGAAGGGTGGGCGTTGGCAGTGTGTGTCTATGTGTTTTGAGTTATTGTAAACAAGTGTGTGTGTGTGTGTGTGTGTGTGTGTGTGTGTGTGTGTGTGTGTGTGTGTGTGTGTGTGTGTGTGTGTGTGTGTGTGTGTGTGTGTGTGTGTGTGTGTGTGTGTGTCTTTGGCAGAGGATCAGTGTATTGCCAGTAAAGACAGATCGGGTGTCACCATCAAGTGTCTCCATTTGGAACAGTCGGTCTAAGTGGAGTCAAGACAATGCCAACACCCCTCAGTCCTGAGCCAACACCAGATTGTATACACACACATGCACACACACACACACACACACACACACACACACACACACACACACACACACACACACGCACGCACGTACTCACGCACGCACTCACACACACACACAACAGGGCTGTATGTCAGCAGCAGTTAATGATTAAAGGATATACCAACATTTATAGAAAAATAAAATGACTTTAACACTAAATAACTGATCTTTTTGTTGGAGGTGACATTTGGGGCAGCATAAATAATTATTTAACACAACATTGATAAATCATAACCTTTAAGTTGATATGTCAAACAGTTGCTTACACATTGATTACCATCAATGGGTTATTGCTGCCAAGCAGAGCTGAAAACAACACTGATAGTGAACAATCAAATAATGTTAGACTGCTTCATATAGAGCTGCCTATTCAATTAATACCCAGTATGATTATGACAAAAAGCGACACATTTCTTATTATCACATTGTTTTCACATTGTCATTTCATTCATTTATTTTGTTTCAAATATAAATTATAGCTGCTTTAAGGGTAGATTCATTGTTAATTTGTTATTATATAAACCAATGTTATAATTATGGAGAGTCTCTCATGAGACTCAAGTTGTAAAGCCATCTGAGACAAACTTTTGATTATATATTTAAAATGTATTTAGACTTTTATTGTTTAAACTTTTACCTTTAAAAATATTAACCTTTTGAAATTAGCAGATAAATGATTAATTTTCCAAAAATACTAATCAGGAGATAAACATTTCTACAACTTCCAAGTGCACTTTTCTCTGTGACTTTCAGTTCACTAGCAGAGCCACACCATTGGAAGCTGGTAACGATGGTTGCTAAGGGTGATGATGCTGTTGCTAGAGTGTCTTAAAAAAAAAAGTATTAGTTCTTGATGCTGATTGGCTCATCAGTTGCAGTTTCCAGCCAAAGGCCCAGGAGACGAGGCGGGACTCCCTTTAGAGGTACATGCAAAATAAACAGCAAAAATAATCTTAGACACATACACTCAAACACATGCAGCCACAAACATCAACATAATATACAGTATGTAACATATTCAGACCCAAATGTTAAGACACATTACTTTTTTCTAGTAGTTCGAAGGGTTAATTCGCTGCCAATCATTCCCAATTTTCTGTCAAAACAAACAGACAGATGGTGGAGAGGGTGATAGCGTGAAGCAGAGAGATGCTGCTGTGCTCTACTGGATGACTCATCACTCTGTCACTGTGACCTTTATCTGCTACCTCTCTACCTCTATTGTTCCCTTCCCTTCATCTCTTTTCCTGCACACTTCTAACTTCATTTACTGAGGACTTTGTTTGTCCCCTCTTCCACCAATCCCTTTTCTCTATGCCACTTATGCCGCTCTTCCTGGACATCCTCTAATGCTTTTCCTCCCTTTTCTTTCATCATGTGGTCCACCCTCTGGTCCCATCACCATCACTGCTTTAGGGTGAGGTGTTGCCTTCCCAAAGGGATGTATGCCGGCTCTGCCATGTTGTTACAACAAGTTGACGGAAGAAGACACAAACAGAACAGACTGCAGACTGATAAACATTAACTGTTGATTTCACAGAACTGACTAGTTAGGCACTTAACTGCTGCTCTCAGTATGGGAAGAAAACATTTGCTAGTGGAACATACTCTGCTTTCACTGCACATTTAATTAAGCATGTTGCCATTGTAAAGAAGATCTCTGCATATTGCACACATATGAAGCCATGCAAACCTCTTCATGCAGTATAGATATCATTAATGTACTCCCAAGTTTCCTCTCTAAGTTAGAGCCAAAGTTAAACCACGCCTCCAGACCAGTTAGCCTATTGATTTTTCCTTGTTTTTGAAGGCTGTGAGAACAACAGAAAATGAAACCACATCCAGAATCAATAGTGGAGTACTCTACTCTGAAGGTGAGGACATATCTCATCATCAAAACAGCAATCATAATCAGCCTGGTTGCTCTCAACAGGCAGGTATAGAACTTCCAAGGTCAATCTCTAAATATAGAGGGACCCTAGAGAGAGATGTGCCTGGAGAGACAGGAGAAAATTAGGAAAAGAGAATGAAGGGTCAAAATAAGTTGAAGTTCCTTTGCGTGCTGTCAGAAAGAAAGAAGAATTGCTGTTGTGGAGTGGTTAATTGGGCCAACATGCAATAATATTTAGGAATAGAAGGAGCATTTCCATGTGTTAACTGTTGTGGCATGTGAAGCTGTCAATCTGTTTAATTTGAGTGCCAAGGTGACAAATTAGTTTCCTTTTGTCCTTGTGACTTTGTCTTTATGTGTTTCAGTTTGTGCACTTCTGGTGGTGAGTGCATGCACATGCCAATACCATAGGTTACTACATCTGTGTGTGTGCGTGAGAGTGTGCTAATGGAGTGATCACCTGCCGCAGCACCAGCAGAGGTCATTCAGGACAAAGCTCTTCCCATCCCCTGCAGTCTGCTGTC